CTCAAAGGGCTGTACAGCACATTAGACTCACCATAACATAAAATGCTTTCTCTTAAAACATTTACTGCATGGACTTTTAATTAAAAGGTCCATGAAGACTGTCTAAGGATTTTCCAGGAGCTCCACCACCCTAGCACCCCACACCACTCCCAGGTTAGATCTGAAATGGGAATGTCGCGTAACCTTCGCTGCCCCAGGCAGGGGTGGCACACACCCAGGGAGCCATTGCTAGCCATGGGGTGCTCTGCCAGGGTGTCCCAGCGCCCTGCAGGTTGCTGCAAGAGCTTCTGTTGGTGAGGACAGGAGGCACCCCATCTCCTGCTGCAAAGGATCATGGGCTCCCATAGAGGACCAAAACCAGGCATAAATGTTGTATTTCAATCACTTTAAATCAAATCTTGCTGTGAAAGCAGCAAAGGGAGTCAACCATAATCTTTGTTAGGAGGTTGCACTCAGAATTATTTGAAATGAGTGCTGGTACACAAGCCAGATACCTTTCAATATCAAAAGCATAGCCATAATATATCAGGTATCATTTTATGGGGTGAATTTTAAATACGTTCTATATGTTGAATCATATATTCACATACTGAACTCGACAGCACATTTAATGAGTAGCCCAGGTGGCTACTGTAGATTTTGATTTATAACAAGATTGCCAAGACCAGAACCTATTTGCCACATTGAAGTCTCTTTGGGTGCTCCCTTTATATCACTTCAGCTGCCCGCTATTACCAAAGCAGAAAAATGTCATATACAGGATATATATTTATATAAACTCACTGACTGTTTTTTTCCATCTATACTCTGCAGTATAGATGGTCTATATTTGGAGATACTCCAGACCAAAAGGAATTAATATTGCTTTGATCCCATAAGACGAAACAAAAAAATTTCTTTTTATACCTGGTCCAGGATTGCTCTACATATATTAAACACATAACTCAAGCCTCCTCAAAGTGGTAAACAAGCAACCAGAATTTTACCAAATATCATCTGGCATAATGAGTTAGGTGTTTTATTTGTCTGGTAGTCCCATAAATATGCTAGATGTCTATACCCCACACTTCGTAAGTACCTCCAGGTAAAACTTATATCATTAAATAGCTACAAAACACTGTGAAGATACACTTTTTTAATGGAGTGATGCTTTGTGAATTTAATTTTTAATGTCATTAAAATAGTTAATTACTCTAAAATTACTTTAGGGATGAGGGAAAGATTTGGTATACTTAGAGTAGCAGTCAAGGAGAGGTCAAGTACATCCAATTTCTCTGGCTTTCATATTGTTCACAGGTGCAAGGATTGAAGAAATACTGAAAAGAAGTTTAAATCAGGCTGTATGAAGGAATCTGAACTGAATCAGTGAGACAACAAATTGTAAAGAGGTAGAGCAGCAATCTATTTAAAAAAAATAAAAAAGTAACCGTTCTTACTCATGGGTATGATTTAATATTCTGGTTTTCAGAATACAGTCATAAAGCACAGATATCCCACCCACTCCTCCAACAAGGAAAACACTTAAAGGTGGATATGATACTAACAAGAAACAATGGCGATGGCGTAAAAGCTCCTATTCCTGAAAAAATCAAGTACATGAAAAGTGGCTTGCTTCTGTTTGGTATGAGGCACTCTGCAAAACCCATTCTCCCTTATTCCACAGTTATGGCCAAGGGTCTGAATGAAACGGCAACAGGCACAAAGGCATTGCATATGTGGGGTGCTTTGCCTTTTCAGTGCAGGTCTCAGTGAACAGCACCCACTGGGGCACCAGGAGTAATTACTGGTGGTTTCCAGTCAGTCACCACAGTGGCCAAACTGCCCTTTGAGACTATGAGGCAGCCCAGATGTCATCCTTCCATAACTAATAGGTGAGCACGAGAAGGGGATTTTTTTACTGAGACAGGATGAGCTGAATAGATAGTTGCTGCAGAGGGTAAGCTGACATTAGATGTGGCTTCAAGTTCTTACTCTGGCCTATGGGTGGGCTGCTGCCACTCAGAGCAGTCCCGCTGCACTCCTTGACCTGCAGCAACAGGCATCCTGCCCCTCTCGTGGGCTGGACCGAGCTATTGGATATGGTTCCATGAGATGGACCAGTGGAAAACTATGTGGGTTTTGCTATTTTTGGCAGGTTTATTTTCCATTCAGCCTGCTCTGCTGTTCCATAATCAATTGATATGATGCAAGGAAAGGAACAAGAAGATGTGGCTAAGGGCAAGACAGATCAAGGCCCCTCTTTCTATGGGAGCCTGCAGTTACATCAAACCAAATGTAATGTGAAACCGATGTCTGCACTGGTGGTTGTAAAGGTGCCTCCATGAAATGCATTTAGCATAGACCTAAACGGGCTTCTGGCCTGACTCACAGCTTCGTGCTCCTGTGTTGTGTGTCTGAGGCATGCTGGTGCTCTGTGTGGTCTGAACAAGGGTCTTGGCCACCACAAGTCCCACAAGACACACTTCCTGCCTTTAGCACCTCTGCCTCATACTTTCTCTCTCAACTGTCCAAATATTGAAACAGATAAGAAGACAGTAGTAGTCTACTCCTGATTTCTACAAGGGCTTCATTTTATCAACACAAACCGTAGAATGGATGACCTTTTCTTCAGGTAGTGAGATAAGGCACAGACAGGAAAGGGCAGCTCATGTGGGTTATGCTCCATCAGTGTGACCCCTGAGACAAACCTAAATATCAGTTTAGACATAGAAAAGGGACTTCCTCTGGTTACCATTTCTGATTACCACCCTTGGAGCGAACTGGTGGTGTTTAATTTTTTGGAATTACATAAGTTAATTTTTTTTTCTATTATATATTGTTATAATGATTGTTGTATCTATGAATTCTTTCTTGTTCTGTAATTCTTGTGGTCAGCCACAGAATGATTTTGAGAGCCTGCTGGATGCCAAAGGGAATATCTGGATTTGGCTATCTGAAGAAATCTTCAAAGTCAACTTTAAGTATCAGTGCAGATGTACGTGATGGCTTCTACAATTACTTCTGATTATCTGTGAGATGACTGGGGTGTGTGTGTCTAGAAGAGGGGATGGAAGAGAGATGGGGGTTAAGACTAAAACATTTATGCTTTGTCAGAGAGAATGAGCATTGACTGAAAAAAACTAAAATATCTCTCTCTCAGACCACATGGCAGCAAAGTTCCTCTGTTCCTCCAGTAGAAACCTGAAGTAGACGTGGCACCCTCTGCCCCTGACCCACAGTTCCATCTCTCTGGCAGAGATCAGCTGAAGAAAGCTTTCACAGTGCTGTCAGAGAAGTGGCTGATGGATTTTGGAGAGGTAAGGCAGAAAGACCGCCCATTTCTTGTGCTTTTCTAGAAAGATAGCTATGGACTAGATTTTAGATATTGTATGTATTGTCTTCCTTCCATAGATAACTTATGGTTTCTCTCAAAACCAAAATTTGGGCATGGATTTTTGTTTTGGTTTGTGTATATTTCTTGTTTGGTTTGTTGACATCTTGCTCCTTACACCATAGCTATGTGGTAGAAATGCATGCTATATGGAGAAAACCTCATCACAAAAGATGTGTTGTGCAAAACTTCAGTGAACTGAACTCCTAATGAGGAAAAATTCCTTAGACCTGTCTATCATGTAACCAATAATAACTTCTGTTAAGAAAAATAATTTTCTTAGAGTTGAAAAGCAAAAGGCTGCTACTCAAGCTCCAAAACATTCATTTGTAATCCTAATTCAGTGGAGGATCATGCTGTTTAAAATAGAATGACTAAATGTCCTTTTTTTAAAAACAGTTCAGTGAATTGTCTTTAAATTCTCCCTGAAAGACAATCACATTCAGATGTTCCTTGGCACCAACTAGTTTCAATGCAGCCATTTCAAAGGCATTGCTTCTTCAAATAGTGTGGTATGTTATATAAAGTTATGTGGCTATTGGAAGGGAACTCACGTACTGCATTAAGGTGAGGGTCCAGAATACTACTGGGATACTTAGCAGCAAGTGCTAAATCACAGTTCAGTCAGGTCACATAATCAAATTCCAGATTATCCCTTTTATTACGTTCGACTAATAAATCTTTGGAAACTAGATTCTGACAAGTTCATCACAGCATTTTAACTTTTCAGTGGTGCGTGTAGAATACATATACATATAGAATCTCACAAAAGAAAAAAAGCAAAAAAGCAAAAAAAGCAGCACCAAGTCCACAATAAGAATGGAAAAAGAAGTAGTCTTATGTCAGATGCCACCAGACTGAAAAGTTACACTGAAAGACGTGCCTCCATTTTTAATTTGAACCTTCTCAACTGAAGTAGAGCCGTTTATCATTTAGTTCCAGTGAACGGATTTGCACATCAGACGTTTCACTGCATTATGGATGGGACAATGTTAAATATGTTTTCACTGCAGTTCCACAGGTCACTGGCATGGGCATAAGCCAAGACCATATGGTTAAGATTATTACAACATAGCTATCGGTCATGCAGCTAGCTCTATGGCAACTAACAGCATTTAATGCTTAGATAATATGGTTTCATTATCGCAAACGAAATTAAAGAGCCCTTTCCCATATAGAGACAATCCAAGCAAAAGTCCGCACCATTACACCAGGCTGTTAATTGAACTTTTTTCCACCAGGATTCAAAAGAAGGAGGAGGTTAAGGGAACTCGCTGATATAGCAACATGGTTGAACACAAACCTATGCTGCAGAAGACTTACCATCATCCAGGTACATCTGGTCCAATTCCTCAGGTTCTCGCTTGATCGTTACAGGAATAGGGGCCAAATTATGATTACTTTCCTCATGCAACTCTGGCAATGACAGTGGTTGGGTTGTTGGAGACTCATTTCTGTGAACCTTCGGCAGTTGCTGCTGCTGCTGACCCATTATGGATGAATGAGTTGGACTGCAGGACTGCAAATAGGTTGGCTCTTGGGTAACAGATGGAACTGGAGAAGAGGGACTGTTGGGATAGAGTGTTTGTTGATAACCAAGGGGACAGCTACTGCTCAGATGTTGACTCACCTGCGGCTGCAGCATGATGTGAGATGATTGCTCGGGGGAGCTTGGGTGCACAACTATAGACCTTGGCACTTCCTGTATGGTGGGGACACCTCCAGCAGGCTGCTGAAGTCCAAGGTGACTGTGGCCCGGGTTGGGGATGCACTTGTAAGGAGAGGACGAAAGGTCGTGCAGCTTGGGGCTTGCGTTGGGAGAGGGTGACATCACGGCATTTCTCTGCTGACAGGAGGCAAAGCCAGCCACGAGGCACGAACCAGGATCAGGGGGCATCATGATCTGCTGGCTGTAGTATGGTTTAGAGAGAGGGCTTAAGCCTTGGTTCATTGGTCCACAGGTTTGAGCAGGCTCATAGTCATCTGTGGGTTCTGTTTTTATAATTGGAACTGTTAAAAGAAAAAAGTTTTAAATAAACATGAGTTGCGTATTGGTATGATCAAGTTGGCTTGTGGCTAGGATACCCTTTGCAAAACAAACATCGTCTTGAATAAGACTCTGTGTGTCTTTTGCCTAGTTCTCCCACCCTATAAAAAAAAATGAATGAGTCATCAGCACAAGAAAGTCACAGCTGGTTCTAATATTGAAAAGGACTATTTTCTTTGGACTCTCCTCCAGCACTAATGTGCTATAAAAATCTATTTGCAAATAGCTGTGCTTCAGTGGAAGCTTTGGACCCAAGGGCTCCATGGATTTGTAGTAATCAAAGCAAGAATTTTAACTTGGATATACTACTGCATTTCTACTGCTACTGATGGCCCATTTGATAAATGTCTGCACATTCGGTAAACTGGTGCATAATAAGGTAGAGATGGGGCTTTCAGAGTTCAGCAAAAGTAAAATTGCAAAGATACATGACAAGCTAGTATGTACAAGAAGTTTTCAATTATGAGGATATTTTTTCAAGAGTAGGATTTGATTTATTTAGTTTTTACATGATTGTGTTTAATCTTACTGACCAGCCAATGGGTATAAAATATTTGGTTAAGTTGCATCCAACTCTCAGTGATTCTAAGTTGGACCCAAACTGCTAATGCCAGCTCCTGACAAATGTTAACTCAGTCTCTGGCTATCAAGAAAAGCTGACACCTATTCTACACCGCTGCTTGCTCCACCCATTGTCCCAAAAGAGTCTCTATTTGAGCTGTCAAGCCATGTCTTTAATACCACCAGCACATGGACAGAATGACTGTGAGCATCAACTTAGTCATGACAAATGCAGAGCTGCCTTCTCAAATCAGAGAAGAGATACTTCCTCAAATCAAAGTGTCTGTCTCACATCAGTTTTCTCTCTCAAATCAGAGAGAGGTGCCTTTGCTGCTTCTCCTACAATATATGCAGTGCACAGGTAAAAGACACCCACTTTCTCTATCAGGAAAATCATAAATAGGGCCAAGCTAGTCTGTAGATGTAATTTTTCTAGCCAGATGCAACTCTAATGCATACAACAATTGAGTATGGATGCACAGTGGCATTTATCTTCTTTCCCAAAAAGAGATCCACAGGAACAGCCGTCGCTTGAAGGTACTGATGGAAATTTACGGTGACACCAGACAATATCTGTCAGAATAATAGAACAACCAACCTGTTGTGACACAAAGTTATTAATGAAACATCTTTGCACAACTCAGTTCAGAGCACATACGTGTTGCATGAGTGTCTCTATTTTTATTTGCATGTGTTCTACAAATATTCTTACACATTTAGTATGTTCGTGTACGAGTCTTTTGAACCCATAAAAATGCACGTGTGTACATGTGTACATATAAAACCTCTTTTAACACTCACAAATTTTGCTGCTGGTGAATGCACTTCACTACCCTTGTTTTACAGCCCCCTAGCCTCTTGTTAACTTTGCTCCTTTTATGTTCTTTTACATATAGATGCCTGCATCACTTGATACAAGATTTCTAGCACCCCTAGTAAAAACATGTCTATATATGTAACAGATGCACAGGTGCTGCTCAAGACGAATGTGGTAAGGATAATGGACTGTCATTGGATTCCTCATAATCTTATTTTCACCTGCTTGTATGCTGCACACTGGCTAGCAGGGCTACTAATGCACTTGGTTGCAGAGAAGCAGATTCCAGGTTCAGTGACAGCTTTATAAAACCAATATCACACCCTTTATGAAAGTGCAAGACCAAAGAAACACACCTAGATAAACATAGCAGCTCAGATATTGTAAGAAAATACCTTTAACAAGTTCCTGAGCTAGCAAATATTCTCACATGTTTTATATTAGGTTCACTGTACTAGCACTAACCACAGCACAGCTGGAAATATGATGGTTGTTGAACACTGAATTTTCCCAATATATCACTGTTATAGAAACACCTGTGCTAAATAATTCCAAGATCAACCACTGGCAATTCAACTCCAATAAACCCTGGAGTTGTCTGACTTGTTATAACCTAGGAAAGGATTATAGACCTGGTGGCAGGCAGGCTGGAGGCTTTAAAAAAGGCAGGTTCCTGATCGCAGGCTGATTTTTCATTGTAGCTCTTCTATGACACATCTTTCCTACTTGATTTACCATGCACTTTTCTGTCACTTCACTTTTAATTTTTTCTTTATAAAAGCAATTGCCATGGGGTCTATTTGCAGGTGTGATTAGTGGCCATGAACAACAGAAATCTGTTTTCATATGTTGCTACACTGAAATACACCTGCTGCAATCAACAGAAGATAACCAGTAAGTCCTACTCTGCACTGGGCAGAAGACTGATGGGTGGAAGGGACTCTATTATAGACCTGTTAGTCCAAAAACTCTCTTGGAGATGGTGACGGCAACCAAGGACACTCCTGGCTGCCCATAAATTTGGAGTTAATAGGGTTTTAATTACAGGACCAGTCAGGGTAAGTCACCATAGCTTGTTTGCTCATGGCAGGTTGGTAGCCAGAGAGGAAAACAAGGAGTGATATGAGACTTGAGTGGGATCTCCATTCTATTTGACATATGTTTACATTGTCCCCTTGTATTGCTCTGAACTGATATTGTCTCCATTACCTTTTTGAATGTGTTTTTTTCAACTTAGTAGAAAAGTCTCCCCTTGCTAAGTATATATTTTGTTTGTATGCTAATCTCATTACTAGAACATGTATCACACTGAAAGACAGAAAAAGTATTAATGCTGAAATGGTGATGGGATCTGTATCTGACTTTTTAGTGTTTTGCCATTTGTACAGCCATTTAACACCGTGCAGAGCGAACGTACAGATTCTACCAAGCTGGGATGGCAGCCATTCACTCCCCTTTAAAAAAGCGTAAATGTCTTCACAGCGTACCACTTTGGAGAAGGAAGCGCTGTAGGATTTTTTTTTTTTCCTGGAGAAACCATTACTAATGATCCAGATGATCTGGAATCAGACCTGCAAAGCTGAGTGTGTCAGCAGAAATATAAAACATTAACACTTCCCTTTCTGCCTTGACCTCAATTTTTGTATTTTACATGAATAACCATATTAATTGACTTGTGGAGGACAGATACAACATGAATTGCTACATTACAAGAGTTAACAGTGTATTTATGGCACTGTATCCTATATCTGCTTCTCCCCAGTCTACATAACTTCACTGAGTGGAATTAACAAAGATCAAAAATCTTTGCCAATGTTTATATTTCCAAACTCAACTCAAATGAGCTCTGGGTCTGACCTTCTGGTTATTCTGAAAATACTTTGAATGTGTAAAAAATTAGTGTAAATCACCTTATATTCTTTCTTTAAAAGGACAATGGTTTACTTCCACTTTGCAAATGACTGCAAAGGGCCCAAGGAAGGAGCTGTATTTCAAGGCACACCTTCCAAAACCAATCCAGGAACAGCCTGTACCTGGACTCACTGGCTACTCACTTACCATCACAGTGTCTATAGAGTTACTCAAACAAGTTAAAATACTTGCATGTAATAAGGCTACCAGTTCCTAACACACCCTATTCACTGTCTCACTGACTTTTGTAGGGCTGAGACCCTTAGCTGGGGTGAGCAGCTGCAGCTGACAGAGCAGCTGAGGACACAAACTCTACGTGCCCACCTTCACCATTTTCTCCTAGGTAGGAACCCAGTGGGTTCCTCCAGAGGAGCCAGGGCTGATCACCAGCCAGCCGTTGACTATCATTACCACTTACCTATTGACTCATGTTTGATTAACTGCAAATCTTTACAGACCTGAGCTAGAAAAAAGGGTTTCATGGGGTTTCATTCTCAAATACATCCCTGTGGAGGCATGGTAAGCTACCTGCCCTAGCACACACCCATTCCCACCATCACTTACTTGCACAAGTGAGTATTTCACACAGGGAGATGTGACGTGATACAGACAGTACTCTTTAATATTCTCAGGGTTAATATTTAACAGAGAACAGTATTAGCCTGACTAACTTCTAGCTCAAATATTTCAAATCTTAAATGATTTGGTAAAAACCTGCCAGCCGAAAGAGACACTCCTAGTCACACAGCAGGCTGGACTGGCAATTAACTGGAAAGCCCTACAGCTGTTCAGAATCTGCAAGCACTTTTAGCAGAAACAGGAGCATTTCTTAAATTCAGCAGAGCCATATCAAATGGCAACAAGCATTCTGTCTCAAAGCTGCTCAGTGGTGCTGAGATAACACCCAGTCTTGCAGACTTTCAGCCGGCTAGAATGAAAAACTGTGACTGAATGCACCACACATTGAGATTTGCCAATAATAAATTGCAGCAATGAAGCCAGAATTTGTGAAATTGTAAACAGAAAAGATGATGCACTCATTATGTAACACTCACATTTAAAAGTAATGTTACTCATTTAAGAGACCCTTACCCTGCTGAAGGATCAGGCCCTTGCCATAAAAAGAAAAAAATGGATGCAAGTTTGGTTTGTATGGTGAATTTTTAAATGTCTGTTACCTCACAAAGCATAAGGTCATCCAACAGATGTTTTTAAGTAGTCCCCAATTCTGAATATTAAAATGTGACAGAGCTCACAGTTCTCAATTAGTTTGATAAGCAACTTAATCTGTGCTAATTGCTTTTCAGTGGTTCGACGATGCCTTCTTAGACTCTGGACTCATGTCATTATGTCATCTAATTTAATATGAAGTTCTGAGAACCATGCGCTGGCAGCAGCCCTGGCTATAAATCAAAGCTTCTTACTCAGAGAGACCAGGGTTATGACATCATACCGAAGCACTGAGTGGAAGACAATGGTCCTTCTGTGTGGGTCTGAATCTGGGAGAAATATTTCAGCCAGTTCTACAAGCCCACATTTAAATGAAAGGCCTTTCTAGCAGGTAAAAAGTTAATATATCAAACCTTGAAGAAAAATAATAAATCATGCACATTCAGTAAAGGCAGTCAGAAAGTGCTTAAATATATATGTATTTTTTGACAATTCTAAAAAGTC